TCCCTGCTGTTTTTGTTTTCTGCTGTCTTTTCTTTTCCACTTCCTGCATTTTTGATTGCAGAGCAAGAGTTCACTCTGCTCTGTGTCCATGATTCTGTTTGTGCTTCCCTAAAACTTGATCCAGGGACTGGTCTCTTGTCTTGCAAGGGTGCTCTGAATGTAATTTAGCATTGCTTTCAGAAGTGGTACCAGGGACTTTTGCCTCCATCTAGACCATGAAAGTGTTACAGTCAATATTTCTAGTAAATGAAGTAAGAAAGGGAACAAGTTCTAGGAATTATTTTTTTTCCTGATTCTGTTGGGTCAGTTGTGTAAGTGACTCTTATGAGATTCTTACGTTCTTGTTCACCACTTTTACCTTTCAAAACCTACTGGACTTGATCTTTTTATTCCACTAGTTTGCTTGCCCAGTCCATTAATGGTAATAGTTGTGGCCAGCAGGTCAAATATAAGCAGTATCATACTAAAGTGTTTAATTAAGATGTCAGAGCAGTATTTTCCTTACATTTTTTAACATCAGCCCTGTGGATATTGCAGCTGAATACCCTTGCCAGACAATGACTTAGTGTAGTTGTGACTAACGTTCAAATCTCTTGACACTGGCCCCTGTGCTCAATCTACTTGGACACAGTTGTCTCCCCTTAAATTTTTATATCACTAAGGAAAGGTGTTGCCTCTGTGAGATAAAAAACCAAACAAAAACAACTGAACTGACAAATATGTAAGGTTTTTTGTTTCCCCTTAAGGGGCATGCTTAGTGAATGATCCTCTGAATCTGGTATGAATTAATCCCATATCAGGTAGCAGGAAAAGAGATGACTTATTCTTGTATTGAAATGACTGTAAAATAGGACATTTCCAGCAAAAGCTACTTGGTATCTTGCCATAACACTAATTAAGTGAAATCATCTTGTAATTATGATACTGCCATGTCAGAATCTACCATCAAACTGATATTTTCTTTTTTTTCTAGGAGCATCTTAAGATCTCCCTGGAGATATGCCTCACTTGGCACTCGGGTAGAGAGATACAGATGCAGTTTGGGTTTGTTGGCAGGCTAAGATGTGTATGTTCTGTATTTGTCTGTGGAAAATATACAAAGTTTTCTGTTATTTGGGCATTAAAATTTATTTGAAGGGGTTATTTTTACTGTCATTGTTAGAGACTGTAAGTTGCTCTAGACCCTTGTTTGCTCTTTTACAAATCAACCAGAGCCCCAGTGCTGCAGACCTGGCACAATGTGATGGGCTTTAGGGGACAGGCAGATCTTCAGCCTTCCCAGCAAGGAGCTGGTAATGGGACCTGAGCCAGGACGTTGTAGTCTGAAGTGGAATTCACTCTTGTGTTTGGGAAACCTGTTGCCTAGTTTTCCTGGCAGGAACTGATACTGCTCCTGTTAGGCACGGAGGGGGATGTAGCTCATATGAAATTCAGTGTCATGGAAGTGAGTTGTCTGTGGTGCTCACAGTGGCTGTTGGGCATCTGAGTTCTGCCTTCTACATAAGTGACCCTTTGCTCTTGCTGCTGAGGGAGGTCTTGAAAAGCAGCATCTGGCCTTGGGGCTGGCTGCCTTCCCATAAGCAGAGTGTTTGCTCTCTGGGCTCCGCTTCCAGCCCTTTCCCTTCTTTCTTCATTTTAGAGCATGCCTTTGCCTTCTTCCACCCCTTTCTTAGGAATTCAAGAGTAAAGGCAGGTTGTGGTGGTTGTTGGTTCATTGTTTTTTTTATTCCCACAAGTGAGTATAGAAGTAGGCATGAGTGGAAAAGTGGGTGTGAGTAGATGGAGGGACCCCATCTCCAGCCATAGTTCCTTAAAGCATCTCCTAACTACTATCAAGCCCTGCTGACCCCTTCTGCTGATAGCAAGCTGAATGCTGCTCTAGTTGTGTTGCAAGCCTGCTTTTTTAATACAGATTAAGAACTGCTGAGCTGGCTTTGATAAATGTTTTGCAGCAAGGTGTTGGTGGGAGATGCAGCTGGGCTGTCTTTAAGTCACCAACACACAGGTGCTTAATCTGTAGTGTTAGTTGGTGTTTAGCCTGCTGCAGCTGATAGCTGCCTCTGCTTCCCAATGAAAAAGTGATTAGAGAACCTTCATCCCCAGACTTTCCATGTGTTTTCTTAGCATGTATTTACTTGGAAAAAGTTTTGCAACTTGGGTTTTGCCTCTGCAGGTGTTGCATGAACTGACTTGGAAGTAGGATTGTCAGTTCAACCAATGTATGACTTCGAATTACAAATGAAATATTCAGTTTATATGTATATATATTAATATATATGTATGAAATACACATTGGTGAAACTTCAAGGACAATGTGCTTGAGATTGCTGGTAGCTGTGGTGGTGAATTGGGTGTGAAATGCAGTTTCGGTGTAATTGGAGGAGAATGAATGCAAGTTTTGCCTTGCTTGGTTTTTTTATTTTAGCAAGTGGCTCAATGGATTCGTGCTTGATGATCTGGAGTATGAGACCTCAGACGAGAGCCTATCGCTTTGTGGGCCACAAAGATGCAGTGATGTGTGTGCAGTTTTCACCTTCTGGTCACTTGGTGGCTTCAGGCTCTAGAGACAAAACAGTCCGTTTGTGGATTCCCAATGTGTAAGTATCTATTCCCTTCTCTCTCTCTTTTTGTGTTTTAACTGTGGATTGGGTTTCTCCTTGCTTCTTGATAGTGGTTCTCCAGCCATGAGACTGTGATCTATTTGAAGGAAAGAAGAACCATTTGATGTGGCAGCTCTGACAGAGGAGAGGTAATTTGGTCTTGAAATTGCATTGGAAAAAAACTAAAATCCTTTGCAAAGTTTAAAGTCGGTGTTAACTTTCTGTGTTGATGTCACTAATGTGTGACATCAGTGGTGAACTGTAGGATTTTTCTTCCCCTTCCTCCCCCAGTTTGTGTTTGTTCCCAGTAAACTGATCCTTTGTGTCTCTGTCAGTGTTACACAAGATAGTGAAACACAAGGTGGGGTTTAGTGATGGAGATACCTGTTCTGTGAGCAGGGTAGAAGTTAGTAGCTTGCATACTTATTGTAGTCCCCAAACTGTTATCCTGTTAAATTCTAATGGAGGAGGTAGCAAGCCACCCTGTCTTTCTGTTGTTCTCTTCTGTCTGTGAGTATTGAGCTTATTTTAACACACAAGATGCTGGAGGTGTATTTTGGACCAAGATTCCGTATGCCTGTTGGGTCTCTAAATATCTTGCACTTTGGTCTATAAAGGTGCCCTGTCTTCATTTGCCAGAAGAATGTCTCATGTATTTATCTGTAAATACCTTGTATTTTGTCTTGCCTGGCTGTGTTACTGGTAGCTTGCTCAATGCCTCACACCAGACACATAGAATTCAGCCATGTTATTTCGGGTTTGAGGCTGTACTGGAAGCGTTCAGCTGGAGTAGGGGCCATTCCAGGAATAGCTGTGAGGTAGTTGCCTGCTTGGCTCTGTCTAGATGAACTGTGAAGATACTTCACCTCCCTTCTCACCTGCCTTGTAGAAAAGGAGGTTGTAACAGAATCTCAGCATCTTCTTTTATATTGGTGTTTCCAACAATGCTATTTTAAATGGTTGCACAAATTAACAGCAGTATTTTTGCCCCTTTATAGGAAACCAGTGTTGAACAACTGGTTTTAGCTACATAATCTGTATAGCTCATGAAGCATGACTTTATTTGGGGTTGGTCAACATTTTCTTCCTCATGTAAGATAGGGGTTTCTTATAGAAGTGGTGACTAATAGCACTTCTCAGCATGCAGAAACTTTGTATTTTCAGGTACATAACGTCTTTGCTGTCCTGTTGTGCCATTTTGAAGTATTTTTTTTTTCCTTCTGTATAGCAAAGGAGAATCTACTGTGTTCAAGGCTCATACAGCAACTGTAAGAAGCGTTCATTTCTCCAACGATGGCCAGTCCTTAGTTACAGCTTCTGATGACAAAACAGTCAAAGTGTGGACAGTTCACAGGCAGAAGTTTCTGTTCTCACTTAGTCAACACATAAACTGGGTTCGCTGTGCCAGGTAAGTTTAACTTTCTGACAACTAGAGATGGGGATTTATTACTCAGAGCAGAGACTGAACATCACTGTCGTGTGTAACACACCTCTGTGCAGGATGATTCAAGAGTGTCTACTGACTGAAATATGTTGTTGACCTGTAGAGAGGTCCCTTGGCTCATAGTTTTGAACCCACTTTGGGTTTCTTCAGTGATCTTTGTCAAAAGACTTTTCTAAGTGATTTGCTTTTGCCTGCTATGGAGACTTTTGCATCTTGAAGTTGCAAACAAAAGCAAAATGAGAGGTTTATAATTGTTATTTCAGCTTAGTTACTTCTAGACTTGTCATGCCTCTAGTTAAAAATGATCGCCTGAGCTCCTTCCAAAATGCTGCAAATGCTGCCATACTAAAAACATTATTTTCTGATAACTGTCTTGGATTTGGTCTTCAGTTGTTCTTCTCAGTCGTTCTGAGGAGTTTTCATGTGTATATATGTATTTAGGATAAAGCCACAATCTCTCTGTAAATGAAAAGTTGAAGTAGTTCTTGAATGTGGTGGTGGCAGTGACTGGTAGTGCTATAAATGCCTGCCATAGAGCAGAAGAAGTGTTTTTCCAGTATGGGTGATGATGATGATCTTTAGTTAGATACTCAAGTCCTGATCTTGTAAAATGTCTGCCTCTGAAGAAAGATTGATCTCGTGTATGAAATTTTAAGATACAAGCTTAATACATCCTTCTAAGGCACTTAAGGGATGAAGCAGCTTCTGCTGCAACTGTTACCTTGGGAGTAATTTTATTTCTCCAAATGCTTGTGGCAAAGGGAGGAATTGTTTTGAATCAGGGTAAAGAGACAACTTGAGATACACTCAAAATTGAAGCAAGTAGAACAGATCTGAAGTCAGACTGAAGACATTTCTGTTGATTATGTTATGTGCTTGGGGAATTAGAGATACTGTGAGGACCTAAGGTTTATTTTTTCTCCCTCAAATTATGGTGGTTGGATTTTAAGTCTCACTGATGCTGATATGACTTGAATGAGTATTACCAGTACACCTTGACAGGTGGCCAAATCCAGTTGATGCCATACACCTTTTGTTTGGGGGCATTTCCTAATTGCTGTATCTTTTGTCTTAGGTTCTCTCCTGACGGGCGATTAATAGTGTCAGCCAGCGATGATAAAACTGTCAAACTGTGGGATAAAACCAGCAGAGAATGTATACATTCCTTCTGTGAGAATGGGGGGTGAGTACCCGGGGATACTTGAGGACCAGCCTTTTTGTGATTGCTGAAATGAATCACAGGATTGTCAGAGTTGGGAGGGCCCTCTAGAGATCATCTAGTCCAACTCCCCTGCTAAAGCAGGATCCCTTGGAGCACATGACTCAGGGCTGCATCCTGGCAGGTCTTTAATTTAATCTCCAGAGAAGTTGGCTCCACAACCTCCCTGGGCAGCCTGTTCCAGGGCTCTTGTCACCCTCACTGTAAAGAAGTTTTTCCTCGTATTTAAATGGAACTTCCCATGTTCCAGCTTGTGCCCATTGTCCCTCATCGGGTCACTGGGAACTGCTGAAAAGAGTCTGGCTCCATCCTCCTGGCACCCATCCTTTAGATACTTGTAGGCATTAATAAAGTCTCCTCTCTGCCTTCTCTTCTCCAGGCTAGAGAGTCCCACCCAGCCTTTCTTCATCAGGGAGATGCTCCAATCCCTCAGTTATCTTCGTTGCCCTCTGCTGGACTCTCTCCAGTAGTTCCCTGTCTCTCTTGAATAGGGGAGCCCAGAACTGGATGTAGTATTCCAGATTTGGCTTCACCAGGGCAGAGTAGAAGGGGAGAATGACCTCTCTCAATGTGCCAGCCACACTCTTCCTTATGCATCCCAGGATTCCATTGGCCTTCTTAGTGGCCAGGGCACATTGCTGGCTCATGGATAACTTACTGTCTACCAGCACTCCCAGATCCTTCTCCTTGGAACTGGTTTTCAGCAGGTCCACCCCTATGAGGATACCTGGTAAATGTACCCCTAGTTTTGTGACTGCAGTCAGAGGCCCTTATCCTGGCAATAATTTCTACCTCTTCAGAAATCATTAGTGGCTATTACAAAACAGTCAGCAGAGGATGAGATGCAAGAGCTCTTGGAGTAGCTTAGATCTTCTTATGACTTGTCCAGTTTGGAACCTTGAGATTATATTTCATCTGTCACATCAAGCCTTAGTTTCTTTATCCTTTATTATTTCTGGAGGTGCTTAAATTCTTTTTTTGTTCTTCTAGTTCTGTTAAGCCTTTTGCTCTGATTGAAGTGAACTAAAAGAGCAGAAGTGTACTGGCAGATTGGTGCTTGGGTGCTTTGTTTCATCCTCAAGTATTTGAATAACACAGTTATTCCATAAAATACTCTATTCAGAAAGACAGTTGTTGAACTGGACTTTTCTTCATGAAGAGTATTGAGCCACAGCAGAAGTTTCTTTGTCTAGAAACACAAAAGTCTAAAGAGAGCTGAGACTGGAGTCTTCCTATTTTCTTGCTACACTGAATTTTTAAGTACAAAGTTGTTTTTTCCAGGTAATATACAATGATATTAAGACAAATTCAGACAGTTATTTTTTCCAGTGCTTTTAAGAATATACTTTGTCCAAATAACCAGTTGAAATATCTCTGCTTCCTCATCTGTTGTTATAAGATGCTAAGTATTGAATCTCATGAACTGTTACAGGGATGCTCAAAGGGTTATTTTATCCAATTTCTTGCATGGATTGGGTGAGGAATTAAAAGATGCTCTTCACTGAAGGTTTTATTGTACTTGTGTGTTCAAGATAAAAATTAATTGCATATAAATCCAAAAAGAAATTTAGTCTGAGCCTTGCTATCTTGTAAGTGGCAACATGTGCTTCAGACACAAATTCAGGAAGTTCCATCTTAAAAATATGTAAGACTATAGAAGAAATAGATCTGTTTAGTCTTGTACATGCTGCTCTAGAAATCCAGTTAATTTCATAGGAAATGTGTGTTACGCAAACATGAAGTGGACACTTGAAAATGTTGTGACAGTCAGATCCATCAGGTTGTGGGAGACTTTTGTCCACAGCTCCTACATCTGTAATGTAAAACATTGAAGCTGGCACACTTGGATAAAATCCTGCAGTCTGCTTGGGGTTATAAGCAAAGTCTTGACAGAAATTCAGCAATTTGAATTTTCAGGTTATCTCCTCCTTTCTGTAATGTTCGATGCACCATAATGTATCTTCCCCTCTTGAAAAGACCTTTTTGATCTTTAGCAAGAGCTGAATGTAAACAGTTGGATTTTACTGCAATTTACAGGTTTGTGAATCATGTGGAATTTCATCCCAGTGGTACCTGCATTGCTGCAGCTGGTGCAGACAACACAGTGAAGGTGTGGGATGTTAGGATGAATAGACTCCTTCAACATTATCAAGGCAAGTTAAGATCCTAAAGTCAGAACTTTCCACGTATTTATATGAATTGCTCTGAAATCCAAAGATTGTTTCTCTATCACCTGCTGATCTTCCAGAAAGGCTGGGTTAGGCCTGCCAGTGGAAGCCTTTTTTTCTATTTCCCACCAAACATTATGATTTACTTTGTGCTTCAAGACCAATTCTCATATATTGGCAAGAAATAACAGTTCCAATTTCTCCTCTTGCCACCATCAAAAAAGGTCAAAAAGCAACATTGAAACTTTCCCATGTTGCAGGTGTGCATAGATGTTATCTGCCATGCCACTTAGCTCATTCACTGTTCTTGAGGGGATATGCAGTAAAAAGGATGTGGCCTTTGCTTCCAAGTAAGCCTACAGGAGAGGAATCAGATGCATTCCAGCAAAACAAAAGGTCAAGTCCTTCATGAGGAAAATGAGGAAAAGCTCACAAAAGAGGAAAATCAAGTGTCTCAACCAATTTCAAATCTCTACCATGATCCATGTTTACAGTTCCTTCTCCAGTATCTCCTTTGGTTCTCAGCTTTCAGAATTAGCCTTGAACTTGGTATGTCTTGTCCAGGTTGGCTTGTCCTTGGAGTAACTAGTTTTCATAGTTAGGAACCTACATAATAATTCTATTTTTTAACCCTTACCTCAAAAGTGGCCTGTCCTCCCATGGACAGGTCTTGTCAAACTGGTCAGTGCTGCCATTTGGTAGAACTGGACAGGAAAAAGTCCTTTCCCAGCCCTGCAAACTTGTTTGAGCTTGATCATACTGTTTTGTGCTTGTTAGTTGCTTGAGCCTAAATGTGTTTTTTTTCTTCCTTTACTATTATATTTAGGGCTGTCATATTATTTTGTAAATCTATACATTCTCAAGCATAATTTCTGGTTCAGATAGCTTATTAAACTTAATTTTGTTAGCTTCTCATGAAGACTGCTTTTGGCATCCTACTGAAGCAGGCACCAGGCTGGAGCCTGGTGTGTTATTCTGTCTGCCATCCACATCATACACTGTCAGTTACTCCTGCAGCAGCTTTGCAGCTGAATGCCAAGCAGAAAAAGAGTAGTAAAATAGCTTGCAGTTAATTCCTGCTAACTTTGCAGTTAAGAGACAAAAACTGAGTTCTGAATTAAAGCTGTTGGTCCTCCTGGCTTTATGTAACTATAATTGTTTTTTTTAAAGTGCTTTTGACCATGTATCTCTTAACTGACAAGGCAATGAAAGAATTTTCAGGCCAGCAATGCAAGTTCTCCAGTTTCCCTTGAAATATAAAGGCAGAGAAAACGTAATAATGTTTAAAGAGCAGAGTTTTTCTGTCTGTCTTCCTTCACAGCAGCCTTTGAAAGACTAGGCCTCTTCTGGTAGATAAGAGCAATTGGGCATTACTCATCTTGAAGCAACTGCAGATTGTCTGCAGTGAAGATACTAAGGTTTTGAAAGTCCTTTGGGTTCTATAAAAAAAGTAAAAAAAGTTCCCCAAAAAGAAATTGCTATAGAGTAGGAACAGTCTATGGGCTTTGGAATGCTTTCTTATTTCTGCTGTATTTAGAGAGCTGTCCTTTTGCTCTTGGCATATAGATGGAAACACCATTTTTATAACCTCATTGGACTATTAAGCACTGAGAGTGACACCACCAACATTGGAACATGTTCCTTATTTTTAGTATTAACTTCCTGCTCCTGGATTGTGTTTTATTCCTGCCCTCTAAATGTGGGATCCTCCTCTCAAGTGTATTCTCCCTGTGTAGTCAAATTAAGCACTCTTTGAACTATTTTACAACTGTAAATGTGCCTGAGCTCCTTGAACTCTCATATAATGTGATTGATTTTTTTATTTCTTCAGTTATTCTTACAGACTCACAATCATTTCCAGTTCTCTGATAGTTAACAAAATCTAATAGAAATCAAACCTTTTGAGGACTGTTGTTCCAATTCATCAGTACTGGGCTGCTTCAGTTACAACAATAAATACTGAAATATGCTTCTTGTGTAATAAGCATTGTTAACTTGTGACCCCTGTCAAAACCTGGAAATACCTTTCTGAAATCTTGTTACTAAACTAGGTAGTATGTTTAAATACTTGAGCAGTTTTGGATTGTTCTTCAACCGACTTTATCAGCTTTTCAACAGTGGCAAGATCTGCAGTGCATGTTTCCAGCCACAGTATAACTTGGCTCAGAAATCATCTCTTCCTGCTTTCCATGTACTGCTATTAAATTGTCCACATGTAATGTTGTTTAGTTTGGCTGTCAGGTTTATTTTTTTCTCTTGGAGTTATATATTTCCCCAGAATTCCACCCCTGTTGAATGGCAATTTAGTCTGACACCCTTGCTATTGAAGCAATCTTTTGCTGATTTATTTTTAATCAGCTATGATGTAAATTCCAATTGTGTATTAAACTTTGATCTAGGAATAGTGATAAAAGCCAAAGAAAAACCTAAAATTGCACTGGTAACTGTGTTTGGTCACTTAATGCAGATGTGGCTGGAAACTGATGCATTTGTAACATGTTCTGGAAGATGTGCTTGGAACTCCTGCTCTCCTGAGGGTTTTCGCATATGCCTTTGGCTAGATCTGGTCTAGTTTTGTGGCACTTGGAAAGTGAAGCTGCCATCGCAGTTCCACTAGAGGGCGACTGTTCCTCACTAGCTGCTTGTGCTGCCTGGTTTCAATGGAAGATGTTCCAAAGATTGAGTTGCATCGAGGAGTTAATACATAAGTAGCTCTGCCACAGATTTTTGCGTGTGAAATTGAGTTGTTTTCCAAAGTTGATGAGTCTTCTAGCAGTTTTGGCTCTTGCTGCCAGGACTTGTTCCACCTTTGAGTTTTGTAAATGAAAGTAGGAAGTAGAGAGCAAACTGCAAAACCTTTTGTATGGTGTGTGTGGTTTTTTTAGCAAAGTATGCTCTGGTTGCATTTACTAAATGAACAATGTTTATTACCTGACATTTTTCCTGTGCAAAATTGTGGTGGGGAAACTTCTACAAGTTTATGGAAACAGTTCTAACCTTTTATTAAAAAATTGCTATTTTAAAAAGATCAGCTGGTATTTTTACACAGTTCAGCTGGGGCTGGATGGATGGGTCAACTGGTGACTGCGGCAGTGTCAAGACCATTCTAATTTATCTTCTGACTGATGGTTACTAAGAGGTTGCATTCACTAATTACATAAAAGTAGCATTGCCAAACTTGAGACAGTTATGTTCAGCCACTCTGAACACAACTCAATTTTAGTAATTGCCCCCGCAGTGTAGGTCCTTTAAGTACCCATTATTTTTCTAGGGCTTGGCTAATGGAAAAATAACCTTGTAGCAACAAGACAGGAGGAGATGGCACCTGGTGGTGCCCTGGGTTTATTGTTTACAACATGAAATTAAGAGACGTTGCAGAAAGTGTTGGCAAGTTTTTGGAGAAGACTCCTGAATGGTCTAGTGAGAGGCATAGGCATGAGCTGGTCTGGCAGAAGGGACATGGAGTTTTTCTTTGAGCTTACAACAGCGAAGAGCTCCTTGGCACAGTAGCTGCAACTGCTTACACAGCCAGTCTGTGTGAGTCCTTTCCAGTATGAAAAGGTTTTTGGTGACACTGGAAATACTTTATTCATTATCTGTAAATTGGAGGATATATCA